AGAAAGAAAGAAAGAAAGAAAGAAAGAAAGAAAGAAAGAAAGAAAGAAAGAAAGAGAAGACAGGGATATAGAGAACAATTATGGGGTAGAAGAACATGCAAAGACCACAGTGGACATTTCTGTCTCCTCCTATACGATCCTCAACACAAAGGTAAACAACCTGCTCTCTAAGATAGTCTCTTTGGATTTTAAATTGCTAACATTCAAAACTTTCTGGCTATATTTTACTAAACATGAAAAGTAGTTATCTACCTCAAAGGGGAAAAAATGTATGTGAAGAGGGAAACATGCGTTTGAGGATAATTTTCCAGAAAATGAAAAATTCTTTACTCTCACACAATTGCAAAAATGAATACATCATCAGATTTTATTTAACTTAATGAAGAAACCGCTAAGAAGTTAAAACCTGTATATGGAACAATACAACAAGCACCTGTCAATCAACTGCATAGAAGCCATTTGAGTACATCAGCAGGAGTTATTTTTTCAAGGCTATCATTCACCTGCAGCTTCTAAAGCCGTAAAATAACTCCCATGGACTTGGCTTCAGCCTGAGAGGGTAGGTCCTCTCTAGGTAGTGCGGTATTTTCTCCTCCACCTAACAGTTATCGCTCTTTTCTAGACACTGAGTAAGCAGACAGTCTTCCGTGGGCACACCCCCAAACAACTTGGAAATGAAACTTCACCATCAAAAAGGCCCTGTGCAGACGGACTGTGTGTTTGGCCCACTGCTGATGGGAAGGAAGTGGCTTCATGGGTACACACTTTCCACAAATGAATCAGAAACACATCTGCACAGCTCTCTTCTCTATTTTCTCACCTGCCCCAAGCTACGACCTTGAACTAGACACAACTTACTTGTTACAATAACACACACACACACACACACACACACACACACACACACACACACACACACACACACGAGAAAAAGGGAGAATCAGAGATACAGACAGAGACCACAGACACAGATTGGGAGACAGAGAATGTGGGGCCAGGAGTTGAACCATTTACAAAGTGGTTCTTCTGGGGGTGAAGGGAGCGCTAATTATAGTCTTTAGCTGCCAAGGTTGCGGCTAGATTTAATCAGTTAAGGGATGTGAAAACCCTTTGGAACGTGCGGATCTCAAGTTCACGGCTAGGAAAAATAACAGGCCTAGGGTCTGGACTTTGGAAGCACCAGCCCAGTTTGCACGCGTGCTCTGTGCGGGCTCCTCCCCCCGACCCCTCCGGGAGGCGGAGGGCGTGGACGCCGGCCCTCCCCAGCCCGCGGCCCGCCCAGGTGAATGAAATCGTGAGGGGGGGCCCCCCCGGGCTACTCAGTTCCCGATTCTGTCCCGGGACGCCAGCAGCTCGGGCTGCGCTGGCTGCAAAGGATGGGCGAGCAGAGAGGATGCACGGGGAGGCAGGCCCGAGGCCCCGGGCTGCAGCAGCTGCTCCTCCTGCTGCTGCTGCTATTGCAGCCGTCGCCGGGCTGGGCCTCCGGGGCTGCCCGGCCGCCCCACGTGGTCTTCGTGCTGGCAGACGACCTGGGCTGGAACGACGTGGGTTTCCACGGCTCGGTCATCCGCACGCCGCACCTCGATGCGCTGGCGGCCTCCGGGGTGGTCCTGGACAACTACTACGTGCAGCCCCTGTGCACGCCCTCGCGGAGCCAGCTGCTCACCGGCCGCTATCAGGTACCAGGCGGGGCCCCCTCCCGCCCCGCGTGGCTCCCCGAGCCCGCGCGCTCGTACCAGGGACACAGTGGGACCGCGCTCGCCGCCCATGGCTGCCCCAGGCCTCTGCGCATGCCCGGTTTCCTCTTGGTGGCCCATTGCCGAAGTGGCTTTCATTTTCTCAAGGTCCGAGGAATGGAGGTTTCTGGGAGCTCAAGATGCTGTGCCTTTGAACCCCCAGGGACAAGGGTAGATGATGGGGTCCCGAGGAGGAAGGATGGAGGAGAAGGGAGGCCCAAGAAGCTCCAGAGTGGAATTAAAGTGAGGGGGGCGGATCCTGGTAGCTGGTGTGCTCAGTGGTCCTAGGTCGGGAGTGACCCACTGGGACAGGAAAATAGAAAACCGTGTAGATGGGACTTTCAGAGATTAACTTGGGAACACTAAAAAGACTGGGATTGTTGACAAGGGGAGCATGATCAGAGAAGCCCGCAGTGTATGAGACTGGGGGGTACTGTGACAAGTCTTAACCTTTACCCCGAGTCCCTCTTCTGTCTTGGGGCCCCGGCCCCAGGTGAGATAAGGCACACCCCAGCTCCTCTGTATCTGTCTTTCCTTTAGTAAGTTACCTGCTTGCCTGTAATTATCCATGTGCCAATCACCTGGAGACTCGAGCGCTGCCCCCCCCCAGACCCTCCGCTGTACACGACCAACAATGGAAAGTCATTTCTAGATTCCCCACACCCCTAGAATAAAACACAGGGTGCTGATACTCCTTCTACATTCGAGGGTAAATCCAGCCTGTATGAGCATCCTCACTGTCCTTGAGAGAAGTGTCTGCAGCTAACGTATTTACCCACAGACTATGTGTATGGCAGATGACTAAAAACAGTAAGAATATTTCTGTAGTGTTTGATCGTCTTTAAACTTAATTTTACAAAACACCCCATGAGGTGGGTACTGTGAATCCCCTTTACAGGTGAGGAGATAGCTTGCCTAAATTGTATGTCAGCTGAGGAGTCCTACAGAGACTAAATTGTAATCCTTAGTTTCTTGAATCCACCAGTCATCTCAGACCTATGAAATCACCACCTCCCCTCCATTCTGACTGAGGTTGATGAGTTTATAAGATCCTGGTGTGATTATGACCAAATTAGATACAATAATTTGTAGTGGTTATTACTGAATACTGGCGCTCTCTCTCTGTATCTCTATTTACCCATCCATCTATTCATCCATCCATCCATCCCCCCACCATCTTTTTCTATACACACAATCTTCTGGCCTTTCTTCTTGCAAAGATTTTAGACAACATGGTATGAGTGTGGATATCCAGAACCAATCAGCCAAACATGTCAGATAGCAGATACTTGAGGAAAAATGGATTAGCAGTAAAAGTAAGTATGATATAATCCACTGTGTAATGGATTATACGCACACTGTTTATTCAAGCATTTTGAACTCATTGTCCTCCTACATATGTGTTCGTTCCCAAAACCTTTCAGATCAACATTAACCTCATGTTCTAAGACTGAGATAAAGATTTCAACAGTGGTCCGAAGACTGAAGAGAGAAGATATTTTTTTCTAAGGGACTCAGAAACATCCATAGCCAGAGTTTACTATGGAGCTAAAGCCTGGTTTGCTTCCCTACCGGCAGTTAGGGCATTCCAGGGAATCTACCAGGCTGCTAAGTGTCATCTGTAGTCCCCGGCCAAGGCAAAGGTCTCCCAGCACACAGTAGGAGTCTGCTGGCACACTGCTCCTCAGCAGTAGGGAGAGGGTGCTTCTGAGTTTGTTCTGAAGAGAGAGAACTGAACTCACATTGCAAAATAATGGAGGGGCTGTTCATTTATGCAACATCCTCATAACAGACCTGAGCAGGAAAGCACTCGAACCTCACTCATAGAATTGATTACTTCTATCCACTTCCACCCCCTAACATGCTGCACCCACCAGGCCCTTGAAAAATCCTTGGGTACTGGGAGCGAATCTGTGGTTAATAAGTGAAGGAAAAGGAGAAGCTGTGTTCTTCAGAACCACCAGCGGCATCTCGAGGGAGCTGACTCAAACATCTTTTTTTTTTTTTTTCTTTTTTCCCATTATAGTCTGTCACAGGGTTCACAAGTTCCTGTTCAAGATTATTTTGGTTTAGTGATATTCTTTTCCTGGAGTCTAAGAACGATCATTGCTTTCAAATACTACATGTTGGTACATTCTGGACACCTTTCTCATATCCTTCAAAGCTAATTAAAATAAAGATTTTTTTTTTTTTTTTTTTTTTTGGTTTTTCGAGACAGGGTTTCTCTGTGTAGCTTTGCGCCTAAAATAAAGATTTTTATACTTAAATAATTCAAAACCGACGACACTCCTTGTTTAGAACCATTGTCAGAACTATAAGAAAATATTTTCTGTACCTTCCCAATAGTCAGCTGTAGATTTTCTCACATAGCAACCTCTTTCTATTTCATGGCGTCATAGTGACGTAGCAGTGGCTATGGAACACCCAGATGCTTTTCTCCACAATGTCAGCATGATCCTTCGACATTGACCTCTGGTTCTTCTGTCCTGATGTTATATTTATACTGAACAGCGGTGGTTTTACATTTTTAAAAGTCCTGTTGTATTAGCATCGCTGTTTTATAACAAGGATTTGTAAACTGAGGCTGGAAGAAGGTAGGACATGTCGGGCTGGGGAATGACCTGGGAGCAGAGGAGTCACCTCACAAGCGAGGGAGCCTGAGTTCAGATCCCTGGAACCCACATCAAAGGTCAGGCTGGTGGCATGTGTCTTCAATCACAGCACTGGCAAGATGGGAGGTGGGTCAGGTGGATCCCTGGAAGCTCCTGGGCCAGCTAGACTGGTCTACACGGCAGTTTCAGACCAGTGAGAGACCCTGTCTCAAGACAAAAACATGGAAGGTGCCCGAGGGCTGATACCTTAGGTTGTCCTCTGGCTCCACCATGGGTGCTGTGTACACACCTGCACCCCTGCTGCCACACACTTGCACCCACATTTACACTCACACCCACCCACACCCACCACCACTCACACTGAAGAAATGTGCCCAAGGCCACAGGGCTAAGAAATGATAGAACTGCTTATGATCCCGGCGGTGTGCTCAGAGTCAGGACTTACAGCAACTATTTCGTGTTTCCTCCTCAGAAGTATTAAAAACGTCACCACGACTGCCCCTTCATACTTAATAAAATCCTTATTTTTTTTTAACATTTAAGTCAATCCTAAACATCTCCATCTGAAAAATGAATCTATCATATTTTTAGTTAAAGATTGCCTGTGTTAAGTGTAAAATGGGAAAGGATTTTATTTCTGGAAGAATCATTTGGTACAATAAAATAAAAAAAATTGTTAACTATTTCAAAATTAGGTGCTTGAGAGAACTGTTCAGGAGTCCCACCTGTGACCTGCAGTTGTGGCGGTTAGTTCTAATTGTCAACTTGACACAATCTCTTGGGAAGAGAGTCTCGGGGCGAGATTGCCAATGTCAGGCTGGCCTGTGGCAGTCATCTTGATTGTGTTAATTGGTGTGCAGCCCGCTGTGTTGGCGGCATTCTCTGAGTTGGGGTCTTGGACGGATCGGGTGGGGAAAGTGGACTGAGTAGGCATGCCGGCGTCTCTCTCAGCTCTCGACTGTGGGTATGCTGTGACTGGTTAGCTAAAGTCCCTGCCGTGACTTCCCGGTCACGATGGACTGTACCTTGCAATCTCAAGCTAAAACAACCCTTTCTCCTCTAAGTTGCTTTTGGTCAGGGTATTTTTTTTTTTTTTTTTGGTTTTTCAAGACAGGGTTTCTCTGTGTAGCTTTGCGCCTTTCCTGGAGCTCGCTTTGGAGACCAGGCTGGCCTTGAACTCACAGAGATCCGCCTGGCTTTGCCTCTCGAGTGCTGGGATTAAAGGCGTGCGCCACCACCGCCCGGCTTGGTCGGGGTATTTTTATCACAGCGATAGAATTGAAACTAGGGCGTCAATCCTAATGTTGAGAGAGTTAATGTTTAGGGAACCTTCACATTTAAAAATCGGATGAGCTTAGACTAGCCAAACTTAGCTCTCGTGAGCTTTGGGATTTTGTGTGTGTGTGTGTGTGTGTGTGTGTGTGTGTGTGTGTGTGTGTGTGTGTGTTTACTTTTGAAAGTGATGAGTAAAGAGACTAGTTAGGAAAGATGAGAGGTAGGTTTTCCGTCTTGGCTGTGTCAAATTATGACCTTGCTAGACTTAGTTCCTCACAAAAAGATACAGGACCTGGGCTAAGCTCTGATGCTCGGTCTGGCCTTGCATTTCTTTGACCCTGATGCTTTTGTGTTCCCAGAGAAAGTGCACATTATCATACCCACCAACCTCTCTTGGGTAAGAGCAGACGACGCTTGCCTAGCTCTGCCTTACACACTGCATGAGGAGACGACCCTTGCCTAGTAGTTAGTGGTAAATGTAAGATTTAGAATTTAGTCTCTGTACAGCCAGGCAGATGTTCTCCCCATGACCTCTATTCATTATCTTTAAAATTCGTCTATGCATTTTATTTTTAAGTAGAAAACACATAGGGTCTAAAGATCCAAATTCTAGGGGAGGGAAGCTTTGTGGTATAGTCCCTGACAAATTGTCCTTGTTCAGTAAAATCTTCTCATCCCACACTCAGGCAAGAAACTAATTAAACTCAGAGAGTCACACACAGAAAGACGTCGTGAGTGTAGGAGGGGACTTGCTGAGAAGGACTGCAGTGGAGACGGGGTGGGGGGATGAGGTATGAAAACAGTTAAAATCTGTTATGTAAATACATGAACCTGTCAAATAAAAATATTTAAAACCGTCAAAGCTTACCAAAAGGGCTGAAAAATTTCCTCTACCCCAACCTCCCCCACACCTTAGGCATTCAGTTCCCGTGTTCATAGGGAAGTATACAGAGAAGTGATGAGCTGTGAATGACAAGATCCTTCCAGAAGTTCCTCATGGCTATGCAAGCAAACACACAAGTAGATATTCCATTCTTTTTATTTGAATGGTAACAT